CTTAATGGAAGTATCCAATAAGCAATTGTATACATGAGTCGAGAACTTAGGAGAAAGACCTGAGTTGAACACCTAGATTTTATGGTAAGCAGCATATAAACAGTTTATTGTGGCAGGGTGCGGTGGCTCACGCCTGTAATCCCAGCATTTTGGGAGGCCAAGGCGGGCGGATCATGAGGTCAGGAGATCGAGACCATCCTGGCTAACATGGTGAAACCCCATCTCTACTAAAAATGAAAAAAAAAAAAAAAAAAATTTAGCCGGGTGTGGTGGCAGGTGCCTGTAGTCCCAGCTACTCAGGAGGCTGAGGCAGGAGATCAGGAGGCTGAAGCAGGAGAATGCGTGAACCCAGGAGGCGGAGCTTGCAGTCTTGCAGTGAGCCGAGTGAGCCACTGCACTCCAGCCTAGGTGACAGAGCAAGACTCCATCTCAAAACAAAAACAAAAACAAAACAGTTTATTGTAACTGTTGGTTTTGTAACTGTTCTTATTGTTGGATTATCTTGACCAATGAGAATGTGTAGAGCAGAAAGAGGTGGCTAAGGACATGACCATAGGAAACATTAGCTTTAAAGGGAGTTCAGAGAAGGCTAAGAAAGGTTATATTAGGCTGGATGTGGTGGCTCACACCTGTAATCCCAACACTTTGGAGGCTGAGATGGGCAGATCGCTTGAGGTCAGGAGTTTGAAAGCAGCCTGGCCAACATGGTGAAACCCTGTCTCTACTAAAAATATAAAAATTAGCTGGGCGTGTTGGTGGGTGCCTGTAATCCCAGCTACTCCGGAGGCTGAGACAGAGAAGGGCTTGAACCCAGGGGGCTGAGGTTGCAGTGAGTGAGCCAAGATTATGCCACTGCACTCCAGCCTGGGGCGTCAGAGTGAGACTGTCTAAAAAAAAAAAAAAAAAAGCCATATCAATAGAAGTGAAACTATCCATTCATTAAAAGTATATATTTATTAAGCCCCTAGTCTCTGTCAAGAGAAAGAAGGACCTCAGGAGCCAAAAGAAGAAAGCATTTCAAGGAAGGGGGAGTCAACAGGGTCAAATGGCACAGAGAGGGCAAAAGGATAAAGACTGGAGAGTTGTTCATTGAATGTGACCAGGAGGTCACTGGTGGCCTTAATGAGAGCAATCTCGGTGGACTGATGGGGGCAAAAACTAAAATGATTGAGAATAGGAATCATGAAAATGGATATAGCAAGTATAGGTAACTCTAGAAGCTTAGCTATGAAGGGAAGAGAGACATTGAGTGATGACTGAGTGCGGACAAGGATCAAGAGAAAGTTTGGAATGTTTTCCTTTTAATCATGGGAGTTACTTGAGCATGTGTATATGCTAAGGGGAAAATATCAGTAGAAAAGGACAGGTTAAAGATGGTGGCTGACGTCAGTAATCCCAGCAGTTTGGGAGGCTGAGAGGGGAGGATCACTTGAGTCTAGGAGTTCAAGACCAGCCTGGGCAACACAATGAGACCCTGCTTCTTCTTCCTTTTTTTTTTTTTTTTTAAGTTAATACCTTCTGTGTGCAGGCACTATGCTACAAGGAAAGGATACAGTGTTGAGCAAGATAGGCAATCAGGGACTGCATAGAACTTCTAGTAAAGTCATAGGTGAACCTTCAACAGGAGATACAGATGGCATTCACTAGGATGAGAGAGGCATGATGATGCAGCTAAGTATATCTGTAGGGAGCAAAAAGTTGGTGGAATCCTCACTTTATTATCTCTATGTTCCCTGAAGATGGAAAAGGGTTTTCCTGAGATGAACAAGGAAATGGTAAGAAAAGGAACTTGCAAAAAAAGGAGGAAGTTTGAAATAGCTCCCTGGGGACTAGAAGAGAGTGCTTTTCCAATCCAATCTGTGGGACGTGTGATTTTCTTTTTTTGAGACAGAGTCTCACTCTGTTGCCCAGGTTGGAGTGCAGTGGTGCAATCTCGGCTTACTGCAACCTCGGCCTCCCGAGTTCAAGCGATTCTCCTGCCTCAGCCTCCCAAGTAGGTGGGACTACAGGCACATGCCGCCATGCCTGGCTAATTTTTTGTATTTTAGTAGAGACAGGGTTTCACTGTCGTTGCCCAGGCTGGTCTCAAACTCCTGAGCTCAGGCAATCCACCCACCTCGGCCTCCCAAAGTGCTAGGATTACAGGTGTGAGTCACTACGTCTAGCCAGGACTGTGTGATTTTCTTCAAAACACTAAGGGAGTAGGAAGAGAGGGTTTTGTTTTGTTTTGTTTTAACAGAGTTTCTGTCTGTGTCACCTAGGCTGGAGTGCAGTGGCACGATCTCGGCTCACTGCAACCTCCCGTCTCCCAGGTTCGAGCAATTCCCCTGCCTCAGCCTCTTGAGTAGCTGGGATTGCAGATGCCCATCACCACGCCCAGCTAATTTTTTTGTATTTTTAGCAGAGCTGGAGTTTCTCCATGTTGACCAGGCTGGTCTCAAAACTCCTGACCTCAGGTGATCTGCCTACCTCGGCCTCCCAAAGTGCTGGGATTACAGGGGTGAGCCACTTCGCCCAGCCAAGAGAGTGATTTTGATTTGTCCTTCAAAATAGCTCTCAGATTCATTTATTTCTTTCTAAACCTGTTCCTATCACCTTTGTCTGATTGTCCCTCTCCCCTCAGCTTTAGACCTATTTTCTTGCTAGTAGGTCTCTGTCTTTTTGCTTAAAAAAAAAAAAAAAAAAAAAAAAAAAAAGAAAGAAAGAAAAAGACAAGTTGCACCCTTTTTCAAGAATTCAAAATGACATCCTACTCCTGTCAGATGATTTTAACCAGTTCACCTAGGCATTCCAGGCCTTCTGTAATTTGTCTTCCCCTTTTCCCTCTCCTTGCTCCTAACTAGTGCCTTTCCCACATACCAGCCTCACAGCACCTTTTTGTTATCCATGCTGCAGGCTCCTTGTTCATCAAGTAAAAGCTTTTGCTGAAGCTGTGTCCCTCGGGAACATTTTCTTCTTTTGCACCAAGCCAACTCCCACCAAAGTTTTCCTGTCCTCCATGATAAAATGTATCAAACGTCTTTCTGTGCAGTCTTTGGAGAAAATTTATTATCTTCTTTGCACATTTGGAATCAATGTAGCTTTTCTTTTGAGACTTGGTGTTGCTTTTTAATAGTTTAGTACATGTAAATCTTATTTTAATTCAAATATATTATCATTTTCTTAAAGTCTGGGACCACAACCCAGTAGATTGTGCAGTGGATTGTGCAGTAGATTGTGTCTCAAGTAAGTGTTTAATACTTACTGAACTGAGATTTGAGCTGGGTCCTAAAACTTTAAATGAATTATACCCTAATCCCCACTCACTAGTCTATTCAATAAGCATGTATCTGAGTACCTAAACCCTGTGCTAGGAGCTGGGGAGATTTCTTTTAACCTCTCAGTGCCTCTATATTTTGAGGTGTCTTTCTCTCAAAATTTCTTTCCAGCCTTTAAAACAACCCCAACTGCTCAACTGCCTTGGGCCCACGATCTCTCCGCAGTTAATCCTGTGTAGATATTGTCCCAGTTTATCTTCTTCTATTGTTTTAGATCTGACTTTACTGAGTTACTGTTCACCTTACTGGTTCACCTGGCCTTAAATCTCTGTCTCTGTCTCTGTCTTCCCTTTCTCTCTCTCTTTCTCTGTGTGTGTGTGTGCACATGTGTGTTTATGTTTAGGTCTCTTGCATACTTACTGTGGGGCTTAGCCTAGTTGTCGATCATACTCATTGTGGGGCTTAGCCTAGTTGTCGATGCTCCCCTCCCTGATCACAGTCCAGTTAAGGCTGGCCTAAAAGTGGCAAACCCTTTTCCCCTCCTTTCCTCTAGTCCAGAGTCCAAGATGTGGGTAGAAGTGTTCAGTCAGATAAAACTATCTGAGAATGCCAGTGTCTCCCAGGCCACCCACTTTCCTGGAGAATTTTGAGAATGTCTTTTGTCCCAGCCCCACATAGAGAAGAATCCTACCAGGCAATACCAAGGTACCAAGCAATCCTGTCTGTAGTAGCTTTATTCTTCCTCCTCACTGACATTCCCAGGGGCTTTATGAAGGGTGGGGAGGGAGAAGGGGCAGTTCTGCTGTTTGGAGGGATGTCAGGATCCTCTGAGGAAAGGTGGGACATATATCTGGGGGCAGTAAGGCTGTGTGGGTTACTGTCTCAGGTCTTAGAGTTGCTACTCTGTCTTGTGTCTTTCTCTGAGTCAATTAGTCTTGATTTCCACATCTGTTTTGGCTTCAGCCTCTCTCACCTGCCCTCTTCCATTACCCAACAGCCTGACTGCTAGCTAGTTCTTGCCATAGTGGCCCAAACTCATGCTGCTTTGTAGAGGTGGGAGGGGAGGAGATCATGGAAACAAGGAAAACCTCCTGCTGACACCTTCCTTTCCTTTCCCAGGCCTCCAGCCCCCACTCGCATGCTAGGCCTCCTTATCAGGGTCAGGACGAACCAGAGGAGGCCTACGGGGAGAAATAAGGAGAAAGAGGGAACAAGCATTGAGAGGAGCAACGGAGAGTTGGGGGCAGAGTCAGGGAGATGCGGGAGGCTCCCTCGGGAGCAGGGTCGCCCAAACCGTATAGGAGGGGAAGGGAGGACGGATCGCGCAGGCTCTGACAGCCCAGCCCAGCCCCGTCAAGGCTCCCAGGTTTCCTGTCTCTTTCTCCTCCCAGCTCCTCTTCCTCTCTTGTGAAATTTCTCCCCAGAGCCTCTCCTGTGCCAGCCGATCTCTGCTTCTGTATGTATTTCTTCCTCTGCCCGGTGTCAGCGACTGTCCGTGGGTCTCTCCATCTCGTGTCTGTCTCTGGTCTCCAGTTCAGCCTCCCGGCCTGGCCCTCTTGGTGGACGGTGCTCCTGGCGCCCCTCCCCGGGCGGCACTATTGGCGGAGAGGTGACGAGAAGGCGGTGTCTAGCCGCCCTCCAAGGGCAGGATTAGTCGCCGCGACCCAAAGGCGGGCAGGAGGTGGGCCCGGCTGGGAGGCGGGCGGGGCCGCTGGGGCCGAGCCCAGAGCCCCGGGCGGTCGCATTGTTTTCCTCCGCGGATCCGCGGCTGGACTCGGACCCAGGGCTCTCCCGACAGCGCCCTGGACCCCAAATTCGAGCACCATCCAATTCGGACGCTCATCGCATCTCGCCTGAGCACAACCACGGATTGCGAACTCAGCGCAGCGCGTGGCCGCTGGCCGTCCGCGGCGATCTCCATCTCGCTGACCCGAATCCTGGAGCAAGTACCCGGGGCAGGGAAGGGGCTGCGGGGAGGCGGGGACGGAGCAGGAGGGCGCGGCCGGCGGGGGCCAAGCTTCTGAAGCGCCAGGGGACCAGGGAGGGTGTCGGCGCCCGGTGTGCCTGGCTGACGGAGAGGGTCAACGAAATTGGGGTGCAGGGAAGAAGGAGGCACGGTAGCCGAGTCCCGTAACTGTACTGGTGGGAGCAGAGTCTGGGCACCTCATTCAACTGGGCTTTCTTCAAGTCGCATCCCGCCGGATTGGGAAGCGCGAAAAGGGATTATTTGAGGCGCGCACCGTAGAGAGGGTGGAAAATCTGGCCCCTTGCTTTCCCGGCAGGGAAACTAGGGATCCGAGACCCGCGGAGAACTAGACCCTCCTGACGTCCCTGAAGGGATGGGAAGAGGGACGCATCGTTCTGGACTTTGTATCACGGGTGCTCCTCTGTCCTTGTGCAAGCCGGAATCTGAGCACCCTCTGAAGGGTTGGCTCGTGCAAAGAGGCGGCGAATGGGGTCCCCGAGCAACCTCGGTCCCAGCGCCTATCTCCTTCCTTCAGCCCGCTCGGCCCGGGGCTTTGTTAGACTGAGGTCTCCCAAGGAGGATATCCGAGCTGGCAACTGCCTCCTAAGCCCACGGACCCCACTCAGCGCCGGCCTCAGGCCCGCCCTCGTCGGTTCTCAGCCTCTGGCCCTGTTTCCCTGGCCTGGGAGACCCGCCTCCGCTCCCCAACCCCCGCTCCCATCCCCTCTCCGTCTGCGCCTGCAGGCCCCTCCAGCCCCTCCTCCCGCTAACGTGGCTCTGGGACCCGGTCCCGGCCCAGACTCTGCTACCGGCCCCTCCTTGGAGCCCCGGATCCAGTGAGGGGGAGACACGTCGAGCCCCTGGCCCTAGGCCCACCTCTTTCGAGGCTCTAGACACCTGGATTGTCCTGGTTGGGGGTTGGGTGGGAAGGAGGGTAGGTGCTGAGTGTGGGGCTAAGGGCTAAGAGTGGGGGAAATGGCTTGAAGAAAGGAAGGCTCCGGTTCCACAGGCTCCTTGGCGCGACCCTGCTCCCTCTGAGGAAGGTGGACTGGGGCGGGCGACCAGCCCAAAGGCTTCCTGCTATTGTCCCCAGCCCAGTCTCCCCTTCTCCATCCCTTCCACAGCTCTGCTAGACTCTGGCTATGACCCCAACCACTCCCCAGAGGTGGCTTCAGGGCCAGGAGAGAGAAGGGCTGTTTCCTCTTCCCAGCAAGGGGAGGATCTGGAAAGGGGAGAATCAGCCAGGTCTCTCCCATGTGCTTCAGATGGGGGGTGTGAAGCAGCTCGGATTCTTCCAGGGCAGAGTGATCTTTTCTCCAGGCCAGGAGTTGAGGAGCTGACCAGATGCTGCTCCCCAAAAACAGCTACAAGAAGCCCTCTTAAAGATGTATCATAGTTGAGTCTAGAGGGCCAATGCAAAGGCCAGCCAAGCGTTTTTAGAGGCTGGACTAATCCAGCCTAAAGTGGGGTGTGAGAGAGAGAGTGTGTGTGTGTGTGTGTGTGTAGAGTGGGTGGAAGGGAGGCACAGCCTGCTCTCTCAGGGAGGAAGGAAAGGGCCGAGGGTGCTTGCTATCAGATCATTTTGCCTGGAAATGAAGAGCATGTAAATGAGATGCAAATTAGCCTCTATTGTCCCTAGCTAAGGCGCTTTTGCTAAGAAGGCTGTTGGATTCTGAGGGTTTTAACATGGGAGTGGTCGCCATGCCCCACAAACTCTCCCAGTGACCCCCTTTGCCAAGGCTAGCCCTGTAGTTCTAGGAGTTTCTAGAAAGGGGCCATCCCCTTCCCCTACATCTCTGGGCATGAAGCTACCAGCACCTTTGTAACCAAACTATTAAGAAGTGTCATCAGGTTCCTCCCATTTTCAAGGCAGCATCTCCCCTACCCAAGCCTCAGCAGACTTTTCTTGAATTTTTATATTTACTTGTAAGGGATGTGGTAAGGGGAGTGTAACACAGTCTCTTCCCTCCTTTGTCCTGTCTTCCATCAGGTCAGAGGTTTCCTATCCCACTCAAGCCCCCAAAGGAGTCACCACCCCAGGTAAGGAAAGGGCAGCAGCTCCTGAGGGCACGGGGTGGAAGAAGGCATGAGCAGGGAGCAAGAAGAGGGGCCGGCTCTTCTCCCCACTTGCCAGAGACCAAAGTTGTTTCCAGGGTGAAGATACCAGTTGCTCAGGGCAACTTGGAGGCAGGGGGGTGGTGGGAAGAGCAGGTTGGGGAGGATGAGAGACAAGCTATGTCCCTTTCTCTTCCTTTCTTTTCCCCTGGGAACAACAGTATCCGGAAACATGTCAGGGGAGGGAGGAAGGCCCAGCCTTTCAACACCAGAGGGTCGTTAGCTAGCTGCTACTCTGCCCCTGGGGAAGGGGGGGGTCATCATTAGGTGTTCCTACTCTCTTCCCTCCTCCAGCTCTCTTGGGACCCCACCTGACGTCAGCCTCCCCACCAGTGATGCTGGATTGGGAGTGGGGGGACACTTGGGTCCTGGCTCCAAGAGTAGAATTACTGGGGAGATGGAAGGGTGCTTGGCATGGAAGCTTAGGGTCTGTTCTAGGGGACACGGTGGGATGGGCAACTAAGGATTGGTGAAGGATAGTTATCTGTTCACAAAAGAGAGGATTCTCACCCTTCTTGACCTGATTTTTGGAGCCAACCAAGCCCCTCACTTCAATTTTAGGGGAAAGCAGGAAGCTGGTATATACCTCCTACTGTGGGCCCCAGACAGGGTCATTTGGCTGAGGGAGGCTGATGGGTGGAAGACCTGTCTCACCATCTCTTCCACCATATCCATCTTTTCCTGGACTTTGGGCTACAATTACCTGCCTGTCACTGAATTATTTATATTTTAATTTCAGAGGCAGCGGATGAGGGAAGGAAGGGAAAGAGGGACACGTTTAGCCATTTTGCTTCACTAGTCCCTTGTACCCCTGGTTTCTCACAGGGGGTGGGTCTGCTCTTCCCCACTCAAGTACATGCACTGGTTCTTAGGAGCCAGGGAAGGAGCAGGGGGCTAGAGAGCCTGGAGGGGGTGGCACAGTGGTCGGGCAGACAGCTGCAGCCAGAGCTAAATTTAGCCTCTGATCTGGCTTTGATGCACATTCATTTTTGGTGAAGACAGTCCCCCCCACCAACTCTCCTCCCTACTCAGTTTCTTCCCTAGCAGTGGAAAGGGCCCCCGGACCATGAGCTTAGACCAGGACAGTGACCTCTAGGCTGCTTCCCCCAACTCTGTCTTCCTCAACTCTCGAAAGGACAGTGACAGCCACACAGCTGCCCCCAGCTAGGCGCAGTGCCTGCATTGCTCCCAGAGTGCCGTGGGGTGTCTGGGAGGGAGGGGGAGTCAGACACGGTGCCCTCTTCCTCCTCCCAGTGCCAAGGAGTCACTATTTATAATTTTAAGGCTTCAGTCTCTAATTATAGCTGAGAAGGGGTTAGCAAGAGGGGGGTCAGGAGGTGTCACCTACTGAATGTCCCAGACCCAGTCAGGAGAGAAGAGGAAAAGCTGAGTGAGAAGGCTGAGGGGGGGCCGGGTGTGTCCTGTCCTTACCTGGGGTCATGCATGCAGGCCTCACAGCAGCCAGTTCGGGCCAGTTGGAGAGGGAAGGACCTTGAGTGACAATGACAGCTGGCTGGGACTGGGGCAGTGCTGGAGACAGGGTTCTTTTCCCCCACCCCACAGGGTCTTCTGGGGATAGACCAGGAGAGGAGCCTGCTGGCTTGCATCAGGGGAGAGGGAACTTGGCTCCTCCCCCACTTTTCCCTGTCTCCCCTTTCAGGGCCGGCATATGGGTGAGGGGGCACCCCCTGGGGCCTGAGCTGCCCCGCACAGGATGCCCCGTGCCCCCCACTTCATGCCCTTGCTGCTGCTGCTGCTGCTGCTCTCACTTTCCCATACTCAGGCCGCCTTTCCCCAGGACCCCCTCCCTCTGTTGATTTCTGACCTTCAAGGTGAGTGCCCAGTACCTACCTTGCCCCATCTCTGTGAACAATTAGAGACTGAGACCCCCTGTGTGGGAGGCAAGATGCAGGAAGGCTCCCAGCCTCAAGGAAGCTGACAGCCAGATCAGCAAAAGGAAGCAAACAGGTAGAGTGAGCTGACACCTCCTGCCAGCTGCTTCTCATTCCTGGGCCTGGTTTCTTCACTTACAGGCAGCATCGTGTGGACGTTAAGAACGTGGACTCTCAGCTAGACCAAACCTTAGCAGGTCTGAATCCCTGCTAAGCTGCTCACTAGCTGTATGACCTTGATTAAGTTACTTAACCTTTCTTTGTCTCAGTCTCCTCAGCTGTAAAAGGAATATAATAGTATTCTGAGCCAGTGGTGGGTACTCAGGAGGCTGAGGCAGGAAGATCACTTGAGCCCAGGATGTAGTGCTCTGTGATGGTGCCTGTGATTAGCCACTGCAGTCCAGCCTGGGCAACACAGCCAGAGTCCTCCCACCCCCCAACCCCCTACCCCATCTCTTTAAAAAAAAAAAAAAAAAAAGCAGATTAAAAAAAAAAGTCGCCGGGCACGGTGGCTCACGCCTGTAATCCCAGCACTTTGGGAGGCCAAGGTGGGCGGATCACCTGAGGTCAGGAGTTGGAGACCTGCCTGGCTAACATGGTGGAACCCTGTTTCTACTAAAAATATAAAAAATTAGCTGGGCTTGGTGGCATGCGCCTGTAACCCCAGCTACTTGGGAGGCTAAGGTGGGAGAATTGCTTGAACCCAGGAGGCAGAGGTTGCAGTGAGCTGAGATTGCACCATTGCACTCCAGTCTGGGCAACGAGAGTGAAGCTCCATCTCAAAAAACAAAAAACAAAACAGTCTTCTACCTCATGGAATTATTTAGGGATTAAATGACGTTATACATGTAAAGTGCTGAGAGCACGGTATGGCACAAATAAATGCTTTATATGTGTTTGCTGTTATTCTTAGCTACATAGAGAAGGCCTAATACTAGTTCAGTGGTTCCCAACACCTGTTACCCACCTCTCTACCACTGGTACCACCAATAAGCCCACCATGATAGAAAGCATAAACCCACTTTTTCTGAGAAGAACCTTTATCTATTTGCAGTTCCTGTTATATTCGTAGGATTTAGAGTAATTTTAAAGATGGAGGAACTGCAGTTGGGTTACTGGGAGTAATTGTTGAGGGATATATAAGAATAGCAAACACTCCTATGTACTAGAAGCAGCTCCAAGCACATTATAAATTTTTTTTTTTTTTTTTGAGATGGAGTCTTGCACTGTTGCCCAGGCTGGAGTGCAGCGGCGCGATCTCGGCTCTCTGCAAGCTCCGCCTCCTGGGTTCATGCCATTCTCCTCCCTCAGCCTGCCAAGTAGCTAGGAGTATAGGCACCCGCCACCATGCCCGGCTAATTTTTTGAACTTTTGGTAGAGACAGGGTTTTACCGTGTTAGCCAGGATGGTCTCGATCTCCTGACCTTGTGACCCACCCGCCTTGGCCTCCCAAAGTGCTGGGATTACAGGTGTGAGCCACCGCGCCCGGCCAAGCACATTGTAAATGTTAAATCATTTATCCCTGAACTCTGGCTATCCTTTGACCACTGATGACTGTGATTTCCACCATGATCAGGCCAGGTGGATGCTGGAGGTGAGGTGGTCAGAGGAGGCAGAAACCTTGGAGGGCTGAGGTGGCCTGTGAAGAGCCTTGAGGGGAGGGTGCAGAGGGCTGGGAGAAACGGAAACAGAGTGAATAAATGCTCCAGTGGGACAGTGCACAAGGTGGGAGTGAAAGGAAATTGCTAGCCGTAAGGCAGTTCCAAGAAGGGACTAGGCTCAACTCTGGAGGCAGACAGACCTGGATCTGAATCCTGATATTGCCACTTCCCAGCTAAATGAGCAAATTCCTAAATGACTTCTAGCCTCAGGCTCCTCATCTGTAAAATGGGGCCAAAGCTACCTCATAGACCATGTATTAAATGAGACAATGCGTGTGAAGTGCTAACACTGTGTTTGGCAGAGGTTAAGTACTCAGTGTTATTGGTATTAAGAATGGCTTTTGGGCACTCTAACCTCACACATCCACTGTGTCCGCTGCTGGGTTTCATCTGGTTGGAGAGGGTGTTGGGGAAGTTTGTGGTATCCTGGCTGGCCCTCAGCACCCTACCTCTCTGTGTCCTCTAGGTTCTTCCCCATTATCCTGGTTTCGGGGCCTGGAGGATGATGCTGTGGCTGCAGAACTTGGGCTGGACTTTCAGAGATTCCTGACCTTGAACCGGACCTTGCTAGTGGCTGCCCGGTAAACTGGCCGTGGCACAGTTGTGGGGCAGACATGCATGCTCCTGGGCAGACATGGGACCTGCATGGCCACTGCAGCATCTTGCAGGGGACACATGCAGGTGCACAAGCCACGGGGCGTGGACATGCTTGGACCCAGAGCACAAATGCCAAGGCATGGAGGAAGTGGGGAGGGAAGGGACAGAAGGTCTGCACTGTTTGTCCCTGAACAGCTGACTGTGGGTAAGGTGGGGGCTAAGGAGCTCAGCTGGGGTGCCTTGACTAGGCTCTGATCCCTCCTTACCTACCCCTTCAGGGATCACGTTTTCTCCTTCGATCTTCAAGCCCAAGAAGAAGGGGAGGGGCTGGTGCCCAACAAGGTGAGGGGCTGTGTGGGAAGAGGTGCAGACATGGAGATGAGGCTGGGAAAGGTCTAATGGGGGTCAGGTGGGTGGGAAGAAGAATCCAAAAGGAACCATAATGTGAGGAGGGAACCCAGTTGCCCCCTGAGTTTCCCTCTTCAACTTTTCCCTTTAGTATCTAACATGGAGAAGCCAAGATGTGGAGAACTGTGCTGTACGAGGAAAGCTGACGGTAAGGAGTGAGACGAGAATGTGGAGGGAAGGAGAGGATTACTCTGCCCCCAGTCCCTGTCCAACTGGTCCTCTACTATGCCGAATTTCCTTCACACTTTTTCCATCCCAGGCCACAGGAGAAAATAGAAAGGAAAGAGAATTCCCGATTTTCAGTTTCTCTTTCATGCCTCACAGAAAAGAAAAGTGAGGCTCCTCAGAGAGGCCAAAGGATTTGCCTAAGGCCAGAGGGCCAGCAAACAGCTTACTTGGGACTTTATCTCGCATTGCTCTGTTGCGCTCAAGAGGACTAGCCCACCTTTCTTTCTTTTTTTTTTTTGGAGACGGAGTCTCAGTCTGCCGCCCAGGCTGGAGTGCAATGGCACGATCTTGATCTTGGCTCACTGCAACCTCCGCCTCCATAGTTCAAGTGATTCTCCTGCCTCAGCCTCCCAAGTAGCTGGGATTACAGGCGCACATTGCCACGCCTGGCTAATTTTTTGTATTTTAGTAGAAATGAGGTTTCACCGTGTTGTCCAGGCTGGTCTTGAACTCCTGAGCTCAGGCAATCTGCCCACCTTGGCCTCCCAAAGTGCTAGGATTACAGGCGTGAGCCACCACGCCCACCCTGTAAGCCCACCTTTCTATTACCTCCTGGTCTCAGTCCCAGGACCCTCTGTCACTGACCTAGAATTTTGGGTTCTCTAGGACGAGTGCTACAACTATATTCGTGTTCTTGTTCCCTGGGACTCCCAGACGCTCCTTGCCTGTGGAACGAACTCATTCAGTCCTGTGTGCCGCAGCTATGGGGTACAAAAGACAGGGTGGGGGTTAGGATGGGAGTTGGGGGGACCCCAAGATGGGCAATTGGTTTGATGGGAAAGGACCAGGAACTGGGGTAGGGGAATGGGAGTGCCCAGAATTCAAGGGTCCAGAGGGGCTGGGGAGAAGGCAACGGGACAGGAGGGAATAGGCTGTGGAGCCAGACTCCAAGACCCTGAAGGTTCTAGGCATCTGCTCCCTCTGTCCCCAGATAACTTCGCTGCAGCAGGAGGGTGAGGAACTGAGTGGACAGGCTCGATGCCCCTTTGATGCCACCCAGTCCAACGTGGCCGTCTTTGCAGGTGTGCAGCCGGGCATGTGAGAACAAAGCATGTGGCTGGAGGGAGCTCCTGCCTCAGCTCCTCTCCCAGTGGGTCTTTCCCCCATTCCCCTGAGTGGAGGGTTGAGGTAGGGGCCAGGGCCAGGCCTAGGTAGGGGTGTGGGAGGCCCAAGAAGAGGCAGGATACAGATCCCTAAGCCCTCCCCTGACCCCACTCCATCCATCCCTCCAGAGGGCAGCCTGTACTCAGCCACAGCTGCGGATTTCCAGGCCAGTGATGCTGTAGTTTACAGAAGCCTTGGGCCCCAGCCCCCACTCCGCTCCGCCAAGTACGACTCCAAGTGGCTCCGAGGTCAGGGCGGGCCTGGGGAAAGGAGACTGTTCCTGGGAGGGAGGACTGTGGTGGGGAGCAGGCAGATGGTGTGGTAATGTGTACGTATGCAATGGGGAGAGCGATGTGGGGCCAGGAGCTTCTGAGCAGGTACAGATACTCTTCTATACCCTTTCCTGTCATTCCCCATCTTAGAGCCACACTTTGTCCATGCCTTGGAGCATGGAGACCATGTCTACTTCTTCTTCCGCGAGGTCTCTGTGGAGGATGCTCGGCTGGGGAGGGTAAGGAGGTGGGCATCAGGGTGGGTAGCTGGAGGGTTCTGCTGGATCCTGAGGAGCCAGTCTGAGTGGGAAGAGAGCTCCTGACCATAATCTCCCCAAGCAATTCCCTGGACTCTCACCCCTCAACTTGGAATAGCCCTGAGCCATCTGCCCCCACATCCTGCTTGTCCCTCACCCTTGACTCAAATTGTCCTACCATGCCACACCCATCATTCACTGTGCCCCTCACATTGCTCCCTTGGTGCT